ACAAATTCTGCCAATATATGATAATAGGCTGTGGCAAAAATATTTTTGGAGATATTTAAAAAAAACTTTTGCAAAACTTTAAACGCGTTTTCTGGCTAAACTAGAAGAGATAGAGCGATTTTAAGTGTTTTTTGTGATCACTGGGAATCCACAGATTCTGCCAATATATGATAATACGCTGTTGCAAAAATATTTTTGGAGATATTTGAAAAAATCTTTTGCAAAGCTTTAAACGTATTTTCTGGCTAAACTAGAAGAGATAGAGCGATTTTAAGTGTTTTTTGTGATCACTGGGAATCCACAGATTCTGCCAATATATGATAATAGACTGTGGCAAAAATATTTTTGGAGATATTTAAAAAAATCTTTTGCAAAACTTTAAACGCATTTTCTGGCTAAACTAGAAGAGATAGAGCGATTTTAAGTGTTTTTTGTGATCACTAGGAATTCACAGATTCTGCCAATATATGACAATAGGCTGTGGCAAAAATATTTTTGAAGATATTTAAAAAAATCTTTTGCAAAACTTTAAACGTGTTTTCTGGCTAAACTACAAGAGATAGAGCGATTTTAAGGGTTTTTTGTGATCACTGGGAATCCACAGATTCTGCCAATATATGACAATAGGCTGCGGCAAAAATATTTTTGGAGATACTTAAAAAAATTTTTTTCAAAACTTGAAACGCGTTTTCTGGCTAAACTAGAAGAGATAGAGCGATTTTAAGTGTTTTTTGTTATCACTGGGAATCCACAGATTCTGCCAATATATAACAATAGGCTGTGGCAAAATATTTTTGGAGATATTATTTAAAAAATCTTTTGCCAAACTTTAAACGCGTTTTCTGGCTAAACTAGAAGAGATAGAGCGATTTTAAGTGTTTTTTGTTATCACTGGGAATCAACAGATTCTGCCAATATATAATAATAGGCTGTGGCAAAATATTTTTGGAGATATTATTTAAAAAATCTTTTGCCAAACTTTAAACGCGTTTTCTGGCTAAACTAGAAGAGATAGAGCGATGTTAAGTGTTTTTTTGTGATCACTGGCAATCCACAGATTCTGCCAATATATAATAATAGACTGTGGCAAAAATATTTTTGGAGATATTTAAAAAAATTTTTTGCAAAACTTTAAACGCATTTTCTGGCTAAACTAGAAGAGATAGAGCGATTTTAAGTGTTTTTTGTGATCACTGGGAATCCACAAATTCTGCCAATATATGATAATAGGCTGTGGCAAAAATATTTTTGGAGATATTTAAAAAAATCTTTTGCAAAACTTTAAACGCATTTTCTGGCTAAATTAGAAGAGATAGAGCGATTTTAAGTGTTTTTTGTGATCACTGGGAATCCACAAATTCTGCCAATATATGATAATAGGCTGTGGCAAAAATATTTTTGGAGATATTTAAAAAAAATTTTTGCAAAACTTTAAACGCATTTTCTGGCTAAATTAGAAGAGATAGAGCGATTTTAAGTGTTTTTTGTGATCACTGGGAATCCACAAATTCTGCCAATATATGATAATAGGCTGTGGCAAAAATATTTTTGGAGATATTTAAAAAAAACTTTTGCAAAACTTTAAACGCGTTTTCTGGCTAAACTAGAAGAGATAGAGCGATTTTAAGTGTTTTTTGTGATCACTAGGAATCCACAGATTCTGCCAATATATGACAATACGCTGTTGCAAAAATATTTTTGGAGATATTTAAAAAAATCTTTTGCAAAACTTTAAACGCATTTTCTGGCTAAACTAGAAGAGATAGAGCGATTTTAAGTGTTTTTTGTGATCACTAGGAATTCACAGATTCTGCCAATATATGACAATAGGCTGTGGCAAAAATATTTTTAAAGATATTTACAAAAATCTTTTGCAAAATTTTAAACGTGTTTTCTGGCTAAACTACAAGAGATAGAGCGATTTTAAGTGTTTTTTGTGATCACTAGGAATCCACAGATTCTGCCAATATATGATAATAGGCTGTAGCAAAAACATTTTTGGAGATATTTAAAAAAATCTTTTGCAAAACTTTAAACGCGTTTTCTGGCTAAACTAGAAGAGATAGAGCGATGTCAAGTGTGTTTTGGGATCACTGGGAATCCACAGATTCTGCCAATATATGACAATAGGCTGGGCAAAAATATTTTTGGAGATATTTAAAAAAATCTTTTGCCAAACTTTTAACGCGTTTTCTTGCTAAACTAGAAGAGATAGAGCGATTTTAAGGGTTTTTTGTGATCACTAGGAATCCACAGATTCTGCCAATATATGACAATAGGCTGTGGCAAAAATATTTTTGGAGTTATTTAAAAAAATCTTTTGCCAAACTTTAAACGCATTTTCTGGCTAAACTAGAGGAGATAGAGCAATTTTAAGTGTTTTTTGTGATCACTAGGAATCCACAGATTCTGCCAATATATGACAATAGGCTGTGGCAAAAATATTTTTGGAGATATTTAAAAAAATCTTTTGCAAAACTTTAAACGCGCTTTCTGGCTAAACTAGAAGAGATAGAGCGATTTTAAGTGTTTTTTGTAATCATTGATTTTGCCCGTATATAAGAATAGACTGTAGCAAAAATCTTTTCAAATTTTCTAAACGCGTTTTCTGGCTAAAGTAGAAGTGGTAGAGCGATTTTAATAGTTTTTCCTGATCATCGGGAATTCACAAATTCTGCCAAGATTTGATAATCGGAAAAAATCTTTAGGGGTTAAAACAAAAAAAATCTGATGTAGATAACCGACCGCAATGTGTGTTCTCTACGTAAGTGAAAATGTTACAGAATATTATAAAATTGCCTTTTAAATACTTTTTTCCAATTTTTAGGACATTAGTAAGCTCATAGTTAACATACCTAGAAAAATGTAAATTTGGCTCTTACTAGAATTTCAAATTGTGCTCCCCAAATTCCCTGAAATGCTCGCCAGTTAGTTTCGGTAACAACGAGAACTCAAATATTAAATTTCAAGAAATTCTAATAATTCGTTCCGTAGATATGGTGAAAAATGTAAAATCGGGCCGCATCTTTCCAAAAAATTTATATGTTCATTATTTTAATATGAGGAATTCAAATATTAAATTTCAATGAAATCGGTTGATTATTTCTCTTTATATACGCAAAAATGTATATTTGGCCTGTAGTAAATGGCTAGTTGCTGACTCCTGATTTCTTCCAAAAATTAAGAGGTTTCGCGGACGGTCGAGCTGAGCTTATATATAAAATTTCAAGTAAATCGGTTGAATATTTTCTTCAAAATGTTCAAAAATGTAAAACAGGCCCGCTAAAAAGTGCAGTTCCCGAGGCCTGATATATACCAAAATTGATCGATCCGTGCCATGGTGGAAACAAACTTACATATAAAATTTCATCAAAATCGGTTCAGCCGAACTGGAGATACACGCGTGCACACACAGAGCGACAGACCGACAGGTTGCTAAAAATAGTTTACTTACACTTCCTTACTATGGAGAAGTACGTTCCCACCGAAAACTTGATATGCAGAATTTGTTGCCATCACGTAACCTACCTATTGTATACGCAATACGGTCGGTAAAAATATGAAATTGGGATTACATAGTTTTTCAAAAAATGTTAAAAAAAGATATTTATAAATTAAAAAGCTTGTTTACCCATAAAATTTTCTGTTCATTGTTAATACGAGTAAAACACAATATTATTTTATAATTTTTATTACAACTGTACAAATTCTTAAACTCGCATTATACCTAATAAAACTTCAAAAAACTAAAAATACCATGTAACAGTATTAAACAAGATTTTAGGATTTTCGGATGTTATGGTTTTACTAAATCAAAGACCTTCTACTTTTTACAATATTATTGTGGAAAATTTTATATTTTGTATAACTATAAACTTATGGTTGCATGTTAGTTAAACTAAAAATTTATTTGTAAAACCAACCACATTATACCATAAAAGTATATTATTAAAACGAAACAAAAATTTTTTTTTCTAATTCCATTGTATCTCTACATTTTTAAAACATTTTATTTTCAACAAGATTTAATTTCAATATTTTTACTCTAAAAATTAATCGCCATGATCATATTATGCATTTTGAACATATTTACGTGCTTATGGGAAATTTCCAACATAAATTTATTTTAAAATCGACTTTTTGTTCCTATAATTTTCAATTTCTCCTAATTTAAACTGCTTATAATTCATAAGCAGTGAAGGCAAATAGTGTAAGCAATCAATTGCACTCTTTCCATAATTTAGATTTAGATCTTAATTATAGAAGCGATGTTTTATTGAGGTATGTCTATTGCTATGCTCATCTAAATTAAATTTTGAATAAGGTTAATTTCATTATCAAAATTCCATAGGTAATAACTCTGGAGTAAGAAGTAGGAGCAGTTTTGCTTTAATAAAGTAAAATATCAATAACTAGCTATTTAAGTCTTCACGAGTTGCTACATGGAAAGTAAACCCTTCCTCATCTCCGGCTCTAAACGGCTCCAAACGTTTTAACTCAAACCTGATTTGAATACAAGACCTTTGCTAGACTTAGAAATTCTTTTTGATTTGGGGAAAGTAAATTGACAATAAGATATAAACTAGCACATTTCAAAATTTTTTGAAATTGTTTTGAAAACATACCATAATTTTTAATTATAGTTTTTTGCAGTGTTGTTATTATATTTAACTACAGTGTTATTGTTATACATGAAATTCAAATTCTAGGTATTGTTCCTTTCTGGAAAATTATTCAAAACAAATATTAAATAAAGGATAAGTTGAAATAAAATCAAATATCAAAAAAAAATAATTATTTTCATCTGTTAAAATTCAACAAAAATTTTTTTGAATGTTGTTTATAATAAATATTTTGAATCTCTATTTCCTCAATAACGAATAATACAAAAAATTTTACACTAGATTAAAATAAATTAAAAAAATAATATTATAAATCTACATACATATTATATTATATATATATATATTTTTTATTATTTTTACATATATATTTTTCAGTTTCAAAAGCTAAAATTTTAGCTAATTCCGAATTGTATTTTAAAAGTGGAAGTAACATTAATTTAACATGTATTGCACAACATGCACCAAATGAACCCACATACATTTATTGGTACAAGGATAGTGAACTAATTAATAATTCAGATCGTGGTGGTATAAGCATTTTAACAGAATATCTAACAAAACAAAGTAAATTAGAAATAGCAAATGTCCTACCGTCCGATTCAGGAAATTACACATGTATACCGAGTAATTCAAGTAAGTTAAAAAAAATATTTATTTCTATTAAAATTAATATTTTGAAGAAAAAATTTATTGTGTATAAGGATTTTGGTTTTCCCATTTAATATTTTTACATGACTAGCTGAAATTTTAACAAAAAATATCATTATGGACTAGATACTAAAAAAAAAGAAAATAGGAAATTTAAATACTGTGCAAATTAAATTTTTTTTCTAAGAAAGTTTTACTATAATAGTTGCTACTGTTTTGCGAGATTGTTTTGAGTTCACTAAAAATTTAGGATTAAAGAAAATTATTCATTTAAAATCTGTAAGAGCTTTTCTAGAAATCGTTTTTGATTAAAGAATATTCAAAATGCCTTACAAAGTTATTTAAAATTGATTTCTTGTGTTGCATTCACGCGAAATACATTTAATTGACATAGCAATATGGATATGTATATTATATGCCCACACCCTATAATTTCTATTAGATGTCTATAATCGTCTAAATTTCGGTACCTTAATTTTTATACAAATAAATATTTACATTCATAATTGGAATTTTTTAACCAAAAACAAAAAATTTTTTAAAATAAATTTTTAGAACAGTTTTAATTCTGTATGAATTATAAGATTACCATTCGGAAAAATAATTAAATTGAAAAATATTATAAAATTTCCAAAATATTTTTTAATTCGAATTTTATAATAAACAATGAAAATTTTTCAATATGCTGTGAATTTTCATTATTTCGAAAATAACATTCTATATTCTGTTTAAAAAATTTCATTTGGTTCGTATATTACTCTTATACAATATTGTCTTCATGTTCTTTATATATAGTAGGAAGACAATGTAAAAGTATTTCATGGTAGTCTGATAATATAATACATTCTGTTTTTGGATTTACTAATTCAAAACCTCATAATAAATGTTGCAATATAACCTTTATTTCCCTCCTAGGCAATAAAATACAATACCAAATACAAAGAAATCATATAAGTCCGCCGAAAAATTTATGCAAAATTTTCTTTGTTTGTTTGCAAGCACATTCACTTAAATATAATTATTAGTTCCAAAAAAGAATATTATTGAATTACGTCATAATTATCGGTATGCCTGTCAGTACGCCTTCTCGGGAAATGTGATGCTCTCCACCGTAGAAGAAAGGAAATACTGGGCTCTCATTGCGATGAAGTTGCAGTCTTCCGGGCCTTTCAAGTTGCTTTAGTTCATCAGGACGGTGGGTCTCGAGCATGTTTTGCAGGTTATGTCTTAGGCGAGGGGGGGGGGCAATAAATTTTAATATATGGTCGCGCTGCATTGTTTCCCAGGTTTTATAAATCTACAATTTTCAATACCTTTTAATATTGATAAATAAGAAATTTTTTTTTTAAATCTTAGCACAACCTAAAAAATAATTTAAATTTTTTTCTAATAATTTTCGTCATAATACGATTGCCTTTATAGTATTTAAATTTTGAAAATCTACAAATACTATTTCAATTTTCTAATATTCGTGCTTAAATAAAACGTTCTCAAATAAATCCGGTAACATAGTGCCTTCATATAAATATCAGAACTATGTATGTTCAGTAAAATAATTTTTATACATCTTTCACCTTGAGGCAATAATCTCTATTACCATTCAGTACTCTTGATTCCCTTAATCTTTTTATTTTCACACTTAATACCTTACTATACACACAAACACAATCATAACATTTTAAATTTTCAAATTTAGTATTTTTTGTTATCATTCATCTCTATATAAGCTTTAATTTTCAAGTCTTATTTTTATGTTTTCTATTATGTTTTTTTTCCAGATTCAGATAGTGTTTTTGTTCATGTCATAAAAAATGAACATAGAGCAGCAATGCAACATGAGCACGCATCAACATTACATGTTCCTGTGACCATTATAAGGATATTTGGATTCTATTATATAAACTGCATGTTAATACAAATCAAAATTTTAGCTATTATACAATATTTATTACAACGACTGGTATATCTATTGACAACAATAAAATTAAAATACTTTTACAATACGAAAAAAAAATTGAATCAGCAAACAACAAAAAATATCAGGAACGACATCATTTGCAGATAGTAAAGTACACTTTCATTTTAACAGTATTAAAAGGGATTTTTTTGTTTTCAAATGAAAAAAAATGAAATAAAATTAAAAAAAAAAAAAATATTTAAATAATAAAAAAATTTTAGACAAAGAAAAATAAGGGTAAATATAAATAAATGAAAAGAAAAAAAAACATAGGTTTTAAATAGGTTTAAAAAAAACATAAAGAATAAAAATAAATAAAAAAAAAAAATTTTAAAAATAAAAAAAACTAAAGTTAAAAATAATGAAGAACACTAGTAATAAGTAAAAGAGTACATACACTTACATACCAAAACAAAAGAAATGAAATAAAAAAAAAGTTTTTTTTTTTTTTTTGTTTAAATAACAGTAATAAGAAAAAACAAAAAATAATATTTATATAGGTGCATAAAATTAGGTAAACTTTTATTACACTAACTGTAAAATGTAAATAAAAATGAGAAAAAAAAACAGAAACAGAGAAATAAAATGAAACCGAACGAATGATAGAGAAGAATAACATTTCTTTTTTCATCATTTTCTCTTCTCTCTTTATCTGTCACTCTCAATAGAAAATACTTGACTTTCTTGATAATTTTTTAATAGGATAAAAAAGTGCGAAAATATTAAAGTAGCTATACTTTTTTTCCTTCATAAATTTTTAAAAAAATTTCAAAATGTTCTAAGGGAAATTGAGTTGTGAGTGCGCCACAACAATAAAAAATTATAAAATCTCATTTATAAAAATCAAAGGCCTAATTATTTGACGAGAATCGATATTGTGTTATGAAAATAATTTATTGTCCAAATTTCAGTTCGATGCAATAGGCGTAATAAATTCAATTAAATGGTTTGAATTTCATGCATATTTTTGTATTTTGCCGAAAAAATTTCAAATTTGATATTTTGTTTAAGGTTATGTCATAAATAAAAAATTTTTAATGTGTGAGTATTGATTAATTACTTATACAGAGTAAAAACAAAAATATTTTGATCAGAACAATAGACCTTAAAGATGTTTATTACATATCTATTTTTATACGGGAAACTTATATATACAATTTAATTTTTTCAGATTTTAGATTTTCATAGAAAATTTGAAATTAATCAGTTTGTTTGCGCTTTATTTGAACAATTTTATTAAAATTTGTAAAAGAGAATAGAGAAGAGTCATGTTACAGTACTATATAATTGTAAACTGTCGCCTCTCTTTTAAAAAAACTTTTACAGCAAAAATAATATTAAAGCGAAAAGCAAATTAAATCAATTTTACCTACATACACATACACATGAATTGAATTTAAATTAAGCATCATTATTATTAATTTTCTCAGAATTTACTCTCAAAAAATATTGTAATTTTTCATCACATGATACAATATTGTTTACTACTTATCGAGAGTTGGCAGCTAACAGATCGTTCACTTAATATACAGGCGTGTAATACACAACAGTAAAATAATAAATAATTTATAAATAAATTGCATTTCAGTAAAACTGCAATCGGCATGTGAAAAAAGAAATGTTAAAAATATAATTAAAAAAATTTTAAATCAAACAATTGAAAAAAAAAAAATAAAAATAAGACAGAAGAAAAAGTAAACGTGAACTGAGTAAAACTTTAATGAATAATTTCAAAGAAAATGTAAAAAATTTTATTAAAAAAAAAATTCAAAATACAATGAAATTAAAAATGTTAATAAAATAAATTAAAATTAAAATAAAATAAAAAAAAAATCATATAAAATTAAATAAATAAAATACAAGATTTTTTTAAGTTTATTTTACGTTCTTTGTAATTAAAAATGAAAAAACAAGAGGAGAAAATATATAAGTAGTTATATAATAAAAAAAATTTGTATAAATATAAGTTTGTAAATATTTTCTGAAGTATAATATGTTTAAATATATATAATAATATTAATAATGATAATACAATAGTAATTAAAAAAAATAAAATAAATTTAATAAAAATTGAAAACAAGGCATTTTTTTTTACGATATGAAAGAAAAACAAAACAATTTGAAATATATAAGTGGATATTTTTCCTTTTTACAGGTGAAAAGGATTTCAAAATTACGGAATTATTGAAAATAAATTGAAAACAAAAGGATTATTATTTGTAAAAATTTAAGTTTGAGCTGTACAAGATTGAAGCAATTAATAAATTTAAAGGTTTCTTCAGCTGCAACGTTCTGAATTAATTTTAATGAAATTTTGGAACTGTTTTCAATAATTTTAACCACTTAGACGTAAGGTGCAAAAAAATTATTTTAGTTGGCAGTGTAAGTATGTCCGAATGTTTTACAGAATATATCAGCTTGGAAAAATTATTAATAATAATAAAATATAATAAAAATATAATAAAAAGAACGTCAAGCTTTCAGGGGTTCGTTAGATGAAACTGTCGTGCACATCCTTTATGACTGTCCGGTACTGAATCTTTTAGACATGATTTTCTAAGCGTTCGAGAACTGCTGTCCAACTCCCATGGTGATGTCTCCAGCTTCATACTTCGAGCGGGGATATTGTAGCTGGAGGCGTGGGGAGTCGACAATAAGTCGCAAATGGCTGCGATGGCCCGAAGGATACTCCTTCTCCACTCAGTTCCCTTAAGAATCTACAATCAATCTACTAATAATATTCAAAATTGTGGAAACAATTTAAATCAAAATTTTAATTTGAAATTTTTTCATAATTTCAAAATTAACAAGTTCATGAAGTAATGTACTACAATATCTTTTATATATATTTGTCATAAACACTTTTAAAACTCCGAAAAAACAATCATCATCATTCTCTCTTCCTTCTATGATAAAATTATTGAGATACAATATTTTTTTTATTTATTCATCCATTTTTAAAATTGTGGTTGCTTTAATTTTTTAACCACCATAATAATAATACTCGTATTCACTCATTGCAATCCCATACACGTATTCGAAGTTTTATGAATACTTACAAGTTAACCAAAGCAACAACGAAAAAAATAAAAATTTTCAAAAATTCTAAAATAGCTAAAAGCATTCTGTTTCTTTATGTATTTTTAAATCTTTAAAGTATTTTGTATATTTTTTTGTTATTAAAAAAATAAAAGTGTATAGCTATACAATAAGAAAATCTAAAAATAAAAAAAAAACAATTCTAAAATGAAAAAGAATACAAAAAAAAATTTACTATTTTTAAAAAGGATACACAAAAGATGAAAATGGATTTAATTGGTTTTTCATAACATTCTATTAATATACAAAGCTCACTCGTTCGCAATTGCTGTTAACAATTGCTTTTAACCTCTTAATGACTCTCATATAAACTCCGTTGTATAATAATATATGAATTGTATAACAAAAAGATTTTACAAAAATAAAAACCGAAAAATAAAAATGTAGCTAGCTAGAAACAGAAAATTATTTTCCGAAAGTGAACAGAGGATAAAGGCAATGAATGAAATGGAATCAAAGGATTATTAAAATTATATGCTTGAAATCAAATATTAAATTGAATCTTTCCTTTTTTCCTGTATTATTTTTTTTTTTCTTTTCTCTGCAGTGTTGTTATAGAATACTTTTATGTATCTAGGTTTATTACTTAAGAAATTATAACTTTTGTTATAATTACAGATGTATTTTAGATTAAAACATTGTTGCAAATTAAAGAGAATTTATCAGGATTTCTTTTGGAGGTTAATATAGAATTAAACTGGAGGTTAATGTAGAATTTATAAATTATGGTCTACACTACAAAATATGTAGCTTAAACGTGAAGTACTCTGTCTAAAATTAAAAATTAATCTAAAAAAAAATATTCACAAATTTTTAAGTCAGTGGTAGCCTTTTAAACTGAATATTTTCAGTACATCGTCAAATCAATGGACAAAGCAGTAAGCAATAACATTTAGAACTTAAAGAACCACAGTACGTGGCAGTATTCTAAGGCTTATTAAATAAACTCACAATTTTGCAAAACAATAAAAATTATATAACACATTCCGTTCAACATTGAACCGCTATGAATTTATTGAAATTTCAAAAAAAAATTAGATACATAGATGCCAATTTATCTAAAACATTGCAGGAATAAATAATCCCCTAAACAAAAAAGCAATAATTAATTGTTGAATTTCATGCGAAACATTCATAAGAAATCACATTAAATATACACACATATAACGGTTAACTACTATTATATTGTTATATAATATGGTAAACAGCTAAATTTATCAAAAAACTATTATCACTTCATTTCTACCATCATCGACCACATTAAGGCATAAATAATTAGATCCCATTAATATTGAAAAACAAATATGGAATCCTTATCATTTTGAAATAATTTTTATAACCATAAGTATATAGAAATTAGAAACCTGTATCTCTGAATCAATAATTTTTATTACACAGAGAAAAAAAAATGTAGCTGAATACATACATATATATGTCTTATTTGGAGGAAATTATAGGAAAAGGAAGGACAACCGTTTGTTTTTAATGCAACAATAACTATAAATTAAAATATTTATGCATAAGGTAAGAGATTGCAGATTGTAAATTTCAAGGGAACCCAATGGTGGTAAGTTGGCAAACTCTACTATTCGCAAATTATTGTAGCCCCTATAAATAGCATACCCATTTTAAGTACAAAACTAGAGATATTTCCAAGAGAATTGCAATACAGTCCCCACAAAAGCAGCTTATGCAGATGATATTGCCAATTACTTTACTCAGTAAGGAAATTGACAATGGCACGAAGTCGGTTTTTATCCACCTCACAGCAACTCTGAGGTGAACTTCCCTAAACGGTATGGAAGAAAAATGTTCGCAAAACGGTACCCAGTGTTTCACCTGTTTGCGTTCCCTCCCAAACAGACATGCAAGTTTAGCACACACCGCGGAAGTAGACAGCATATAACTGAGAGCAGCCGCACAAAGTCAGTTCCAGATCCTTAACACGACAGATACCCAAGCGAGCGTGACTGTGCAGTTAGGCAACTCCAGAATAGCTTAATTGGATCCGTCTCCGACACTATTGCATAATATTATTATAGTCTACGGTCATTTGTTTTGGCAATATTGAAAAAAAAATGATAAAGTCTTAACCATTGTTATTATGTAGGTTTGTGAGCGAAACTAATTAATTTGTATATACAAAATTGTATAAACACTTGGTAAATATATCCAAAATTATACAATGAAAAACAACATAGAATTGTGATTTATGACCAACATGAATTTTGTCCCATAGTAGTTAACTAGGTCCCAATTATTTCTGTTATATTAAAAATCATATACATACTTACATATATTACATTGTGCACTCAAAAATTTTTACGCTTTGTGAGAGAAACTTTAAATATATTCTCTCTTAAAGAACATGTAGAAGTACACAAAGACCCACATCCAGTTAATTAAGAAAAGAAATGACGAAAATAACATAAAACCACAACAAACAGCCTTTCAAAGAAATATGGTGCAAGGATATTTTTACATTAATATGTAGTTCACATTTTTTCTGCTTTTCAAATTACTGCATTACTTGAAATTGAATTTTAAAGAAAAACTAAAGAAATTTTCTTTTTGTTCTCTCTAACATGGAAAAACGTTTTAGTAAATATAACAAAGTAACAGTAAATATAACAAAGAAAATATTAAAAGAAAAACAAAATTAAATATTTTTCTCTTAAGATAAAAAATTTAATAAAATATAAAAGAAATTATAAAGAATTTGTTGGAAAATAATGAACACGCTTTCCACATTAGTTTAATAAATGAAGTGGACACAAGACCTTGAAATATTGTTCTAGGAAAATAATAGCCGTCTATTAACGTGGAACCAAAATTGAATTAGAATTTGATATTTGAAACTGATAGCCCATAAGATTGCAAATGCAATTATATACGTATGTAAATTAAAAAATTGTGAAGAACTCTAAATGGCTGGAAAACACTCTTTTTTATTTGGCAGGCAAAGTTTTCAGAGTTTACTGGAGGTAGAAAGTTGCGGAAATTTTCTTTCCTAGTTGCCTTTCGAAAGTCCCATTGTCTGTCGATAGAATAAACGCCAATGACAAAGCATTGTGAAATATCCAAAGTGTGGACTTTGTTTGAAAAAATGCAGCTCACATGGTTTGGGTGTTGTGCACCATTATATCAGAGAACATTATGTTAAAGAAATGATATTAGGAACCTTGAATAAGCAATTGTGTTGATTGTCTTATGTCAACTGCCTCACTTCTTTCTACGTTCAAGTTTTTGGTGTAAACGAGAAGAAGCAATGATCAGCCTTGAATCGCCTTTTGAAATTCTTTGGTTTTGTAAATAAAATGCTTTCTTTTTGTATAATATAAAATACCAATAATTTAGGGTGGAAAATAACAAAAAAGGCAAACTCAAAAAGAAGCAACTCAACTAAAATGAAAAATAAAAAAAAAATCAAAGAAAAAATTTTCTTTCTTCGTCCTATTATAAATCAAATTAATTTAGTGGAAATTTTCACTTCTTCTTCATCGTTTGTTTTTTTTTTAATGCTTTCTCTTTTCCCTACCTCAACTATCGTACTAAAGAATTATGATTCAAAATTATAATGCTAAACATCGAATATTCTTCCACTTAATAATCAAAATATTGTAACACTTGTTCCGTAATATTTTCTGTATAGCTTTCCAATATTTGAAATAATAAGAAAGTTGCCACAATTTCTGGATAAAATTTTAGAAGAATATTGAAAATTTTTATGTTGAGTAAATGACAGAGTAATTCTTGTTTGAGCAGTTCAATCCAGAGAAAGTGAAAGATAGTGGAAAAGTAATGATCCTGGTTTTGTTAGCATTTTTTTCTAATAATGTCATT